TATTAATAATAAAGCTCTCCATGTCTTTATATATCCGTATTTGATTGAATCTATTTTTTTTTTTTTTTTTTTTTAAAAAAAATAAAATAAAATAAAATAAAATAGATAAATAGATAAATGATTAAATGAAATAAAAAAAATAATAGTAGGAAAAAAATATAGGTAGGCATAGTTTTGTTTGCAAAAAAAAAAATTTTTTTTTTTTACTAGTTAGTTATGTAGTTGCAGTGACCAATTTGCAAAGTTTGCGTCATTTGTGGACAGTCCTGACAGAAATTTTTTTAACAAGTAACAACGGGTTAACAACCTTCCACCAAACTGAATTACATAGGTAGGTATCTTTAAAGTTGTTATATTCATCTAACTGTTGAAGTGTTGGTATACACAATGGATTTAGCCACCAGAGCCCATTCATTAAATGATTTCCTGGGTCATCTTGTTTAATTATATTCTTGACTCTAACAGAAATTTTATTTCTTTTTTTAGTACTAGATTATTTTATTTGTCTTGGATGACTCTGAAAAAATTATATAACCTTGATAATTTGTTTGTCAGATCATCCTCTTCGTTTAGAGTAGGCCAGTAACTCCTAATAATTTCTTCTATTAGATATTTCTTTATTGTAACCCATAGCCTTAAATCACAATAACACTTGGCGCAATCGGCCTTCAGTGAATACAATCGATCTCCACACTAATATTGTGCAAGGAGACCTTTTCAGTTATATGATAAATGCTTTTTTTTTGTTTTTTGACCCAATCAACTACTAATATATTCGATATAATATCAGGTACACTTCTGGTTTTTGAATTTAATCCAATCTTCAGTAAATTCGACATTCTGATACAGTCAAATATCTGCAGTAATATGCGCAGGTGGGTCAGACTGTAATACCCTTAGCATCTCTTAGTAAACCTGTTCATATTGATCCATATTTTGAGATTCTACTTCAACCCAACATACTTCTACTTCGACTTCTGATAATTATTTGTTAATCTTGACAAAGCATCAGCATTACAATGCTTATAACCAGGCCGATGAATAATGGTAAAGTTATATGGTTCTAATCTAAAGATCTATCTTGCCTATTTGCCTTTTAATTCCGAGATTCTCAACTATTATAATGATGAATGATCTGTAATAAGGAAGAACGGCTTTAATTCCAGATATTGGTGAAAATATTCTACTACCCACATGATAGCAAGATACTCTAACTCAGATATAGAATAATTTTGTTCAGCCCGATTAATGCTACGACTAGCATATGCAATGACATATTCTTTGTTATCTTTATCTAATCGTACCAATACAGCTCCCAATCCTAAAATTGAAGTGTTAGTATGAAGATAAAATGGCCTACTAAAATCTGGATGTCGTAATACTGGAGATGTAATTAAATGATTTTTTAAAGCTTGAAATGCCTTTTCTTGAACATCAGTCCAATGATATAGCTCTAGAGGTCTTATTCGATCAAAAAATTTGTATTCAAATATTTATTTGTTGAATACTTTTAATATTCGAATATTTATTGAAAAATTTTGAATGAATATTCAAATATTCATTAAATATTCACTGAATATTGTATATAGTATAAACCAATTTTATACTTTATTAATACTATA